TATTTCAATAGTTTAAAAATTCATATCAATACTATTAACAACATTTCTGTCATAATAACTAGGGGTCAGAAGCAGTGTCGTAGCAAGGCTTACGAACATCAAGGATAATAATATTGCGTTTCCGAGCTACAAAAAAAAAACAAAAAATCAACTACGTAAATCTCGGATTCGGATGACTCGTATAATGTCATAGATTGAGATAAAAATGTCGGAAAGGTCGATAGCCAAAAAGTTTATTTGTATTGGAAAATAAACCTGTGTATAAAAAATGAAAAAAAAAAAACATGAAACATAATCATTCATTTATGCTCAGTTTCAAGGTCTTGATCTTGACGACGATGGTGACGGCCAGTTTCTAACTACGTCCCTGATCAGGAGCTGTAAAAGTGTGCCCGTGCAGGCGCGGGCGGTGGCACAAAGAGGATCCGGAATGAAAGCAGACAATCGGCGGCAATTAGCCCAGAATTCGGCCTTATTCGAGTCGATCGATCGCCTTTGTGTCCCGACATTAGCCGACGATGAAAAATGACAAATAATCAGCTAGACTTAATAGCGATTGCGATAGTTGCAAGGTGTTTTGTTACGAAATTGTATTCACTTTTTAAATTTCATGTATGTAATATTTGGTTTCATTTCAATTTTACAATATTATATAAAATGCATTTTATGATTTCTAAATATCTTATTGAGACGTATGTCAATTTAATTAAATTAACGATTCACGATCAGACGTTCATCTCTTGGCGCTCCCTCGAAGATAAGGTGTGACAGGTCACTACCCCAGGATTGTTTACCACAGTTTGTTAATATATAGTATATTAATTATTAAATTTTTAAATGTTTGAGCAATCATGTGTCGAAATGTCATTATCCTTCAGGCACAATTTTCACAACATTTTTTCTCTGCCTTCTAATTTTTCATCAATTAAAAACTAAATAACAAACGACGTCGACGACGTATGGCGCAATCTGGTGTCGTATAAGCGGCCTCGGTAACGCAGGTATACGACACTCTTTTAGATCAATGCACCCTTCGGCTAAAACCCCTCCTTCATAAAGGTCGACAGATGATTTTGGACGCTTGTTTTCCGTCGATCTTATCATCGGTGACCTGGGATCTATATCTATTCTGGATCTTATTTATGGACCATTAGTGAGGCATTTTAAAAGCCCCCATAAAGTTACTAAACCATTGGTGGATTTTGTAACTCTGAACCTTTCCTTAGATTAACAAAAGATTGACGAGAGTGATCGATCAGTCACGATTGGGATGTAGAGTACGAGGACTCTAAAGTTGTGCTACTGTAAGTGTGTATATTCTGCGGACGTAACCCGTCCTCCGTCGCGTGCGTCTAACGGCTCCCCTCTGATTGCGGCGTCGCCCCTGGCGGATTCAGCCCTTCGTTTTTCTGCAGAACCCCTTCGCCATTTCGCCTACCTGGGATTTGTTTATGGCCATTTTGACCTTTTTATTTGCTCGAGTAATAATGGTAATAGGCTTTAGGGTAAAGGTCGAAGGTCGTCTATAATGACCTATAGTAGTTTTAGTAAAACGTTAATGATGTGTAATGGCTAGAACGTTTTTACTTTTACGATAATGTTTTAAGATTATTATTATATGAATTGATTTAGGATAGTACACACGGCAAAGGAAATACTACTACACGCAAACAACAATAGATCAGTTAATGGTTTACGCATAGTAAACTATGAATAAGTATTACGGTAATTTACAGATTAGTAGAGAAACAACTTAATTTCGGTGGCAGTTTTTATTATTTAAATATTAGAGTAAATTATCGTAAATTATTAAAGAATTTTCCGATTACTATACTAAAGTATTAAATAATACGTCATGATAATATTGTACAATATATATAACAGAAATTGCCGCTAAAATTAGGTAAACAAAAATGTCCGTTAGTGTAATCGTATTTACCACGTATTTATTGCGCATAGGCATGTCATAGATAAATAATAATTGCTTATGGTTCATTCGCATTTGGCATACTTCCTATAATGCTTTGTATAGAATAAAATCTCATTAACCGACTTAAAAAAGGAGGAGTTTCCCAATTCGATTGTATTTTTTTATATTGTAATCGATTACTTCGACATTTATGAACTGATTTCGATGATTCTTTTTTGTTAGAAAGGGGGAACCTCAGTAGTACCCGATTCAAATTTGAAGAGAATATTCCACCTCTAAGGGTTGCAAGTTAGGGAGTGAAATCGATTTCAATAAAATTTGGCACATAGATGTAATTCCACAAATTTTTGAGGTCGTTTTTTATTATGAAAAAGTTATATTTTATGTTATTAATGAGTATCATAATTTAAAATATATCAAGGAATAATATGTTCTGATATCATAAAGTAACAAATATTAATATATATACATAAACATATGTAGAAGATATGTGAGAACGTTGTTTACTCCCAAATTTACAAAGAATGGAAACAGTTTATTAATGAGAGTTTTTGTTGGAAGACGAAATAGCCCATCGAAAGAACGAGCTTGCGAAGTAGGGGCGAAGTAATTAAAACTTGCACCCTCCCGCCCCCGCATCTCGTCCCCTCGCCACGAATATCCCGCTTTACACTCGCTGGACGACACTTTAGTTGATAGTAAAGGATTTTCAATAAAAGCACCGAAGTTTGTTGCGGTTTTTCTTGCAATAACAGTAAAATGTTTTGTTATTGGTTCACAAGATTATGAAACATATTCTCTATATACATTTTTTTGCGAAATAGTTGCTTCGATAGTACCTTAAACATCATATGAATGACTAGTGATAGTATCTTAGTTTAAATTGCCTCAGTGGCCGTACGGTCACCATGCTGGACTGCCACGCAGAGGTCCCGGGTTCGATTCCCGGGCCGAGAGAAATATTTGTATGGCCTACAATTATTTATCTCGTGAGTTTGGGTGTAATTTGGGGTTGTCTATGTGTGCGTCTATGGCACCCGCGACACAAGATTTCCCTAGGCTATGAGTGAAAAAAAAACCTGATGTGTAAGTTGCTATTACAAATATTTGTAGAATGTTCTAAGCATATTATGTAAGCTATTTTAACTACTCGTGGAAGTAGCAAATTTTACATTTAGTTCATAACTTTTTAAAAGTTATTGAAGAAAATTTATTACACGAACTCTCTAGGTACTTATATGTTGTTTTAAAACCGACTTACCTGAATGTTGAACAAAATGGTAAATATGTACTTTGGTATTTGAAATTCGTACAAAATATTCACGATTCACTCCACCTCGAATACTTAATGTAGTCATTAAGGCCGTCCTCTAATAACACTAAAAGTTAGTAAATACGGCTCCTTTATTTCACTCTACAGTTTCATTAAGTGCGAACCGTCGCCGCTGTTTTCCATTTTTTCCTTGGCGACGGAGCAATCCCGCGATTTTTCAACTTTATTGTACTGCTAAGTCCCGCCTTGCCACCGACACTGAGTCTTGTTTGCAACTTATTATGACACTCTTCAACTATAATATAACAAAGTTTGCAACTTAGATAGTTTCCTGATTTCAATGATAGATATATTAAAATTCTAAAACTCCTGTCATTAAAGATCTTTAAACGGTACCCAAATAAAGAGGACCCTTTAAAACGCTCATAAAGTTACGCACTGAATGTGAGTTAAGTGGGTCAGGTACGTGGTCGAGAAAAACAAATTTTCTCACGAATATTTTGCCTCTCTTTATCACCAGATATACGCCGAGACAGAGCGATATTTGCGTTTTTCAGAAGGATTTGGGGTCTCTTTCCCACTCGTGGTCATAGCATTATACAAGGGCTGCGAATGGAGATAAACGGCTGAGATAAACTCGACTGTATACTCCCTATGATTCCGAATCGTTGGCGCTCAATGTGTCGCAAAATACCGACATTGAAATTAGTACCTACATTATGCCATAATCTTTTGTATGTTTAGTTTAAAAGGTCATATATAAGTTTGCGGTCATCTATTATTTTTTCTTTTAAAAATTTGTTTTTTACTTGTTAATTTAGGTTGTTTAAAGAGTATAAAGTTCCCGGTTGCTACTGTATTGCCAGTAACGTAAGCTAAACTACGCGTATAGTGTCACAAATTGTTTCGAATGCTTGGTCATCTAATTCATTAGACCTTATTTAGGTTAAGGAGATGTGTGGGTAAGGGCGCGGGACGCGGGTGCGGTTCATGAATAGGCGAGTGGACAAGTAGCGCAGATTAGTCTCCCGCCGCAATATCCGTGTGAATTTATTGCAGGCTTCCTCGTCCGCCATCGCTACCGACAAACGAGGCTTTTTCGACGCACTGGGATTACTTTACTGTGAAATACATTGCGTCTTTGTACTTCATTCGAGCCGTGTTATAGTCTGTTATGAATAGGACTATCCAATATTATTTTGCAGGTGACGTAGAAAGTGAGAAAGCGATATTAATAAAATGTGTTATGACCATAATGCCTTAGAGCTCAGCACTCGATGATATTTTCTGCCTTAAACAAGAAGACTTAAATGTTCGTTTTGTTTCTT